GATAGATAGATAGATAGATAGATAGATAGATAGATAGATAGATAGATGGATGGGCGGGTGGGTGGCTGGATGGATGGATGGATAGATAGATAGATAGATAGATAGGTGGATAGATAGATAGATAATAGATAGATGGATGGATGGATAGATAGATAGATAGATAGATAGATAATGGATGGATAGAAATAGATGAGAGATTCATAGATTGTTAGATTGTGTGTGTGTGTGTGTGTGTGTGTGAGAGAGAGAGAGAGAGAGAGAGAGAAAATACTACATTACAGAGTTGGAAGGGACCTTGGAGGTCTTCTAGCCTAACCCCCTGCTCAACCATACACCATTCCAGACCAATGGCTCTTCTTAAAAGCCTCCAGTGACGGAGCACCCACAATTTCTGGTGGCAAGCTGTTCCACTGTTTAATTGTTCTCACTGTTAGGAAATTAGACTGGATCTCACTCCATTAAGCTTCTACCAGTTCCTTCTTCTCTTTCCCTCAGGTGCTTTGGAGAATAAATAGATTGTCACCCACTTTGGGAGAACACTCTTAATGTGTGTGTGTGTGAGAGAGAGAGAGAGAGAGAGAGAGGGAGGGAGAGAGAGAGAGAGAGAGAACTAGGGGGAAGACTGTCTGCTTATGCTCAGAGGCCCCCTTTCCATCTCAGAGTATCGAAAGCAGAAAGGGAAGGGCTGTTACCTTGATGTAGGCCTGCACTGAACGAGATAAAACAATCTCAAATCCATAAGACATGTTTCCGATCGTCACTTGGGCTGAGGTGAGGAGTTGATTGTATTCTGCAGGCTTTCGGTAAAAGGAAGGGTTAAAACTTCTATGGCTGTTTCCTAAAATAAATTGGGAGGAGTGAAAGTCAGCAGATGGTGAGAAAAAACAAACTAGGCATCCAATCTCATGATGAAATCAAAGTGCCACCTTGTAAAAATTCTTTGAAAACAAATAATAAATCAGTATTCTCAGCTTTGCTTGCGTTGCAAGTTTTATTCTCAGGCTTTAATCTCCTATCCAACAGTTGAGCCGCGTGGAAAAAAAACCTGGAATTTTTAAATTGTTCCCCTTGGGAACAGACTTTGCTCTAAAACCATGAGGGCTAGAAACTTTTGAGACAGATCAAAATGCTAGGGAAAAGGAGCACAAACATTGCATTAAAAAAACCAAAACTATTCCGGGTTAATTCCTTGCAACTTTTGTTGGGGGGAAAAAATGGCTCAAAATTTTGGAGACCTTCAAAGCATTGAGCTGAGGAGAGCAATATTTCTGAGTTTTTCTAAGATTACTTCCTGGATCGAATGGATTTTCAGAATGGGTTATTTGGGATTCAACACGCTGGGGATATCCAGCTATTATCTTTGCAAAAAGGGAAAAACCAGGCATTAAAGCCATACATTGGTTTATGTGTCTATCCTAAGCAATGTTAAATAAACACAGCAATTAGTTGTGTGAATGCAGCCAAAACTATGCTTGTTATACAGTATTTTGCAAATATGAAGGTTATGGAGGTACATTGCAAACTTCTGCCCTCTGGTGGCTCAGGTTGGCTATTGCAGGTATTCCCCCCAACACCTGAGCATTCTATGGAAAGGATGGTAAATACGCTGCCCTCTGGTGGTTGAAATTGGCCATTACAGTTCTTGGAAAGGGCTTAATTCTAAAAGAGGAGAAAAGGCAGAAAGAACAGTCTGCCCTCTGCTGGCTCCTTTTGGTCATTGCACCAGAAGTGATGGTGCTGTTTAAAAGACTGCTAAATGCTGCCCTCTGGCGTTTGAGTCTTGGCATTGCACCTGTGGGAAAATGTTTGCATTCAGGTTTTCACTGTGGCTCCTTCATTCGGTTTTTATTTCTTTAAAAAAAAAAATAAGAAAAAAACAGCCCCCCCCCAAAAGGCAAAAACACCAGGAAAAATAATTCTTAACTACCATAGCAAAGGCAGAAAAGTTGGCCCCTGCATTTAGCTCTAGTGGCTGCGTTGTGCCATTGCAGGTCTATAAATAAACCTATGCACTTTGAAGACAATTTTTAAAAAAATTATTCCAAAGGGCACAATAGATTCACCAGGTCACCTAATAACTGGGATTCACACATTTTACCAACCTTGGCCAGGTTGTAATCCCTTACATCTTTGTAAGCTTTGAATCATGGTTAATATTGGCTTTTCTGCTGCTGGAGTTTTGGAGATGGAAGCCAATGCCAAAACCAGTTTTGCAAGCACATCAGTGAACGACTGGACTGATTTTTATATTATTCCTGTTACCATCATCATCCTAATCTCAGTAAACTAACTCGGGTTTGTTCATGGTTTCACATTTTGGCTGGTTCAGAAACCAAATTAAGTACATTCTAGGTGTGTTTAATACAGCCAATGTATCTGTAACCATGTTTCCCAATCTGGGGCACAACCAGATGTGTCAACTTCAACTCCCAGAATTCCACAGGCAGTAGGACCACCGCTGAGAATTCTGGGAGTTGAAGTCCATATGCTCAAAATTGGAGGAGAATTAATCCGGATGCAACCCTGACATTCCAGTGCCTCAGTTTCCAAATTGGATTCGGATCTGGTTTCTCAGGTGGGCTCACCTGACTGGTAAAAACACGATTCCCGGAAGAAAATATGGCCATGCGGTTTTAACCACAGAAGCATCTTCTGGATTAAGGCCTTCAGCTCAGCATCTGACAGGTACATGAACAGCCAGTTGGAGAAGATGAGGTCGAAGCTAAAATTGGGAGGACAAATAAATGATTGGAAGAAGGGAGATTCCTGCTAGAATTTCAAATCGGCACTTCATATTCCAAGATTTGAAATCAGAAAGCATCAGCTTTCTGGGATATGGAGTTTGGTCTAATGGTTAAGGCGCCAGGCTAAAACCAGGAGACGGTGAGTTCTAGTCCTGCCTTAGACATGAAAGCCAGCTGGGTGACTTTGGGCCAATCACCAGGAGACGGTGAGTTTAGTTCTGCTTTAGGGATCAAAGCCAGTTGGGTGACTTTAGGTCAATCAACAGGAGACAGTAAGTTCTAGTTCTGCTTTAGGCATGAAAGCTGGATGGGTAACTTTGGGCCAATCACTAGGAGATAGTGAGTTCTAGTCCCGCCTTAGTCGTGAAAGCCGGGTAGGTGACTTTGGGCCAATCACCAGGACACGGTGAGTTCTAGTCCCGCCTTAGACATGAAAGCCAGCTGGGTGACTTTGGGCCAATCACCAGGACACGGTGAGTTCTAGTCCCACTTTAGGCATGAAAACCAGTTACTTTGGGCCAATCATGAGTACATGGTGAATTCTAATCCTGCCTTAGGCATGAAAGCTGGGTGGGTGACACACATATATTTTATGCCAGAGATTCCACGTAGTGATAAAAATAAGAAAAAAATGTTGAAAGCAATATGTCCTGGTAGTCCCAAAGGTCCTTTTTCAAGAGACACAAAGTCCAATGGCCTCTTGAAAAAGCACCTTTGCGATAGCTAGCTAGTGTTAGATTTGGCCAAGTTAGATTTGGTGCAAGGTGTTTTCACCTCTGGCTTGGGAACTCCAAGGTGGTAACATCAGCCTGTAAAAACGTTATGTTGGTCCGATGGCCGTTTCCTTCCAGATTCCGTTTCAAGAAGCTATCCATAAAATCAACCGCAGTCACATGATGGGCTAATCCAGCCAGCGATCCAGTAAATCGGCTGAAAAAGATTAGTAATCAGTAAGCCTGTATTAATTTAACCTGAAGTAATGTTAGGTTTGCTTTTTTTTTTAAAAAAAAAATCTGCTAAGAGATTTTACAGATTTACAGATTAATAGAGTTGGAAGGGACCTTGTAGGTCATCTAGTCCAACCCCCTGCCCAAGCAGGAGACCCTGCACTGTTTCTGACAAATGGCAGTCCAGTGTCTTCTTGAAAGCTTCCAGGGATGAAGCTCCCACAATTCCTGAAGGCAGCTTCTGTTCCACTAGTTGATTGATTTAGATTGATATCACTTACCTTCTTACATTTCTTCATTTTAAGGAGTTTAACCTTCTATGCATTTTCTGTTTAATTCACACTTTACAAATTGTTTATAGGCTAAATTTATAGCTTACACTCATGCAGTTCTTAATTTATAAATATAAGTTCCTGGGTATTCTATAGTGAGCACAATTCATGCAGCCATATGTGTAGCCATCAATTTATAGATTGTATTTTCAGTGGTGTTTTTATATATATATATTTTTAAAAAACAGCGTGGTTACAATTTTCTAATCCATTTTGTAAATGTTTCGCAAGGCAATCAGTTTGATCATGTTGTATACTTTGAGCTGATCAAAGGCCAAAAGAAATGGATTGCTCACACTCTCTCTCTATTGCACAGGGCAGGCCAACCTGTCAAAATTGCAGACAGGCAGAAAGAAATTGCAGACATAATCAACATTACAAAAGAGCTAGATTTGAACCAAATGGTTAAATGTCTACAGTAGCCTGTGAGCATGTACAGATTGCCTTCCTCCCTGCATGAGATCTGGAACTTGGAGTCGATCACTTATTGGATGGATAGGAGGCAGGAATATTATGCACGTTTTCTTCCCGGAGTTATCCAGGTAGTTCTTGACATACGACCACAATTCAGCCCAGCATTCTTGTTGTTAAGTGAAACATTTGTTAAGTGAATCACTGCAGGTATTTAAGTTAGTCACATGGCTGTTAAGTGAATCTGGCCTCCCATTGACTCTTGCTTGTTAGAAGGTCGCCAATGGGGTTCACATGACCGTCATAAATATGAACCAGTTGCCAAGCCTCTGAATTTTGGTCATGTGACCATGGGGATGCTGGTTGTAACTGTGAAAAAGAGTCCTAAGTCCCTTAGGATGGAGCCTGCCTGGGCAACTGAATGGAGCTGAGTGTTTACTGGCTGGATGCTTTTCCTGTTGCCAGAGCGGAGTTTTTTTTGTTTTGCAGCAGTTATATTCACATTGTGCTGAGAGAGAGAAATATCTGCCTCTATCTGGGATTGAACTCACAGCCTCCTGATTGTGAGGTGAGAGCACCACCTCTAGACCAGTGGTTGCCAACCAGTGGGCTGGGGACCACTGGTGGTCCGTGAGAAAATTTTGGTGGTCCGCAGAGAAATGTCACCCCCAAAGTAATTAATCCAGGCTGCGCAGGAGCACAAGGTTTCGCTGCCCACATGGCCCATGGGAACACAAGGCTTGCATCGCGAACAACACGAGGTAGTGAGGGCGGGGGAAGGATGGAGTGGGGAAACTTGCCCCGTGCGCCTGGCCTGGCCACCGGGCTGCTTCTTTCCACTTCTTTCTTCTTCTGCTTTTGGCTGCATGCAAGGAAAACAGCCAAAGTCTTTCTTTCTCTCCCCCAAACTCCACCAGAAATGAGTCTCTGGGACCCTGCAAGGCCTCCCTGCTCCAAAAGGCTGCGCCGGCAAAGACTCATTTCTGGCAGAGTTTGAGGGAGAGAAAGAAAGACTTCTGCTGCTTCTGCTGCTTTCCTTGCATGAAGCCAAAAGTCTCTCTATCTCTCTCTCTCTTCCCCTGAGAACGGAGCTGGAGATGGTATCCTGCAATCCCAAATAAAGAACAATTGATCAAATCAATAGGAAAATGGGGTGAGGAATTTTCCTGCAGAATTTTTGGGGATTTTCCTAGGGACTCTGGTCCGCGGGATTTAAAATTATGAGTTTGGTGGTCCCTGAGGTCCAAAAGGTTGGCGACCCCTGCTCTAGATCACTGCACTACTCACCCTATCCCGGCTCCCAATTCTAACACTTCCTGTCCCTCTAGGAAAGGCAGAAGACTGAGTATCTCAGGTGTATCTTCTTGAGTGAGCTCCTGGGCTCTGGAGTCCAACATCATTTCCTCCAGCGAGGAATTCTGTGAATGTTCCTCCCAAAATTGATGCATCAGATGCCGTGAGGAAGTTTCAGGTGCTGTTGGAAAATAAAATAAAATAATGAAAAATATTGAAACATAACTAAAATGTTATTTGTTCCGCCTTCTCCAGGTTATCATTTGCAAGCGGTCCTTTTGCAAAATTACAGGGAGTCCTCAATTTGCAACAGTTCATTTACTGACCATTCAAAGATACTGTGATGACCTGGGGATAAATCATTCAAAGATACTGTGATGAGCTGACACAAAGGCAACACAGTCAGATAAGCAATAAGAGTCCCTTTATTAGCTCCAACTTTGCCCCCAATGTCCTGGTTACCTTTGGGCTGGGAAAAACTCTATCAGGAACAGCCTTTGACTATAGAAAACTCAGTCCAAAACACACAAACTGTAACTTAAAATCCAAACAAACCAAACTGAAGTAATTAGTTTGGCAGGGCAGGAGCAGGAATTTCAGACGTGAAAGCACGGCAAAACTCACACAGTTGGGAAGACGCCAGAAACACCGATAAGCCACCACGATACAAGATAGTCATGTTTGCTCCCAACAGCCTGCCGGATGCAGCTTGCCTTTTTTATAAACTGTGTTCCCAGCTGCAGCTAATGAAGGGAGTCAGGGCCCTTTCCTCCCCCGTAAGCCATGCAATCCACGTTGCTCCCTTCTCCGTTCCTCCCTGCGTGCCCTGGGTGGAAGAGGAGGTGGGCCTGGTTCTTCTTCTGAACTCCCTCTCCCTTGTTCTACCTATGTCCTGCTCTGCCCAGCTGGACTTTGCCCTTCCCCAATTTCCTCCACAGCCAACTGAGCCACACTCCCACTCCCTGTCAGCTGTTCGTCTTCCTCCTGGGATTCAGACTCCGACGGGGGCATGACAAATACAACAGCACTGAAAAAAAGTCACTTATGACCATTGCAATGACTTAAAAGTGACTTATGACCTGATCCAAATTTGGACGCTGGGCAATTGACTTTTATTTATGACGTGTTACTAATGCAATAATAACTGCTGGATTCACTGAACAACTGTGGCAGGAAAGGTCATAAAATGGGAGGGAAACCTTTCTTAACAACTGCCTTGTTTAGCAACATAAATTTTGGGCTCCATTATTGTCGTTAATTGAAAACGACCTATATCTATAGTATAAAAATCCAAATGAACCCATAACAGAATAATATTAAAACTGCTGTTGAATGGCATAATAATGCCATGAGCTCAAAACTTTATGAGTAACTAAAAAAAATGCCAACCGTAAATAAATAGATGGCAGGGTTGATCGTTCAAGTCTTCTTAAATCATTCAATATAGAATCATTTCCTAAAATGGAGGATGCTGGCAGTTGATTGGACTTCAGAGGATTTTAGAGGCCACCTAAAATTGTATCGTTTTTAGCAGCTCTGTCACCAAACTGCTGGCTCATATTTGAGTTTCAGTCAACTGCAACTAAGGAGAAATTTCCTAAGAGTAAGCACAATTAACCAGTGGAACAGCTTGCCACTAGAAGTTGTAGGTGCTCCATCACTGGAGGTTTTAAGAAGTGATTGGACAGCCATTTGTCTGGAATGGTATCGGGTCTTCTGCTTAAGCAGGGGGCTGGACTAGAGGACCTCCGAGGTCCCTTCCAACTATTATATTATTCTCTTTTCTTCTCTTCTTTTTATATACATTTTATTCTATGCTACTCTATATTCTATTCTACTCTACTCTATTCCATTCTATTTTTACTCTATTCTATTCTATTTTATTCTAATTCTATTCTATTCTATTCTATTCTTCTATTCTGAATCCTATTCTATTTTTATTCTATTCTCTTCCCTTCTATTATTTTTACTGTATATACACTCTACTCCATTCTATTCTATTTTTATTCTAATTCTAGTCTATTCTATTCTTCTATTCTGAATCCTATTCTATTCTATTTTTATTCTATTTTTATTTTAATTCTATTCTTCTATTCTATTTTTATTCTATTCTCTTCTATTATTTTATATACACTCTACTCCATTCTATTCTATTTTTATTCTAATTCTATTCTATTCTATTCTATTCTTCTATTCTGAATCCTATTCTATTCTATTTTTATTCTATTCTATTTTTATTCTATTCTATTTTTATTCTATTCTATTTTTTATTTTAATTCTATTCTATTCTTTATTCTGAATCCTATTCTATTCTATTTTTATTCTATCATATTTTTATTCTAATTCTAGTCTATTCTATCCTTCTATTCTGAATCCTATTCTATTTTATTTTTATTGTATCATATTTTTATTCTGATTCTATTCTATTCATCCTTTCCCAGTGGCATTTCTGTTTCTTAAGGGAGAAAACTGATGGGGCATTTTGCAAAAGGGGAGAGGAGGAGGGGCAAGAAGTGTGAGGTGGAGGCAAATCCAGGACTTGGACACCGCAGGAAGAGGTGGCAGATTTTGGAGAAGCAGGTGGACCTTTGGACGCCAGCAAATGACCGAAGATCACGGCCAAAGATGGACTGTGACACACAAGAGATAAGGGATTGAGTGAAGACAGCTTCTGGCAGCAGACAAGGAAACCCCTGCAAACCTTAAGGGGCGAAGCAGCCCCCATTCTGTAAAAATGCTGGCTGGATTCCCACCACCCTGTTGATCCAGGCTCAGTTAAAATCTAGCACTGAGGACTTCAGTAATATTAATGAACAGCACTGATAACAAGAATAAGGATGATGAAAGTGGAGTCAGACTAAGTCAAAAGCTAGAAATAAGCCAGGTTCGAATAGCAATAGGATGGAGGGAGGGAGGGAGGGAGGGAGGGAGGGAGGGAGGGAGGG